AGTTCTAAGGTGACTTCTAAATTTATAGAGAAAGCTTCTTACTACAAATCCTGTTTGTTACTCATTATCACTCTAATGACTTGACAGATATACTGTTACTTTTACAGACAGTCCTTAATCTAGTACTCTAACTTTCTGTAGACAAAGTATGCTCCTTACTTTTAGGCTTTACTAATGTCTATCAGAACAGATTGATTACAAATTACAGGCAGATTAATCTGAGGGTTTAGAACTGTCAGAGTCAGACACAAGTGTAGACATTCTGTATAAACTTAACACATCTAAACTATAGCTTAGTCAAAGGAGATAGTGTGTATCTTCTACTCAGTATAAGTGATCAGTTCTAGTATCATTCTAAGAATCTTATTAACCAGTTCTGAGTGAAGAGCTTTTTCAAGTATTCTGATAAGAACATTATCAAACTCAAGTATGAATCCTACCTTCTAGGCTAGAATATTAAACTTCTGAAAGAAGGTATTAGTAGAACATTTGTCCTGTCATAGAGACACAAGCTTGTTCTGTACATTATACTTCTTATTTGGATTAATAAAGGAAGTACAGAGCTGCCTTATGAATTCTAAATATGACTCATTATTCTAAAATTGGATCAGGCTTCTGATCTGATAGTCTTCAATCCAGTTCTAGGCCTAGGTGGCTGTGTTACCTTCCTTCATGAAGGAGAGGACAAATAGGATACAATTAAGATCTGAGAATAGATTAGTCAAAGTAGTAGTTACATATAGTTTGACTTAGTACTAGAAGTCCTTAAAGTGCTACCTATTAAAGTCTAAAGGGTAGACTACATGTACTTTCTTTCTAGAACAGGTTACAACTTCTAGAACAATTAGAACAGGTTCTAAAGGGGCTGAGGGTATGTAGTTAGTAAAGGCCTCTTAGATAGAGGTCTGTATGTATTAAGCTAGTTCTACTCATAACTACTAATCTAGCAGGACAGTAGGGGTGGTAGTTAGTATAGGAGGGTCTATGTTTATACTATAAAGGAATCAGTACTAAACTAAAAGGGGTAATGAATAGAAGAAGGGTGGCAAAAGTTTAAAAGGGTTTAAAAAGTTTAAAATTTAAAAATGTAAAAGGGTTGAGACAAAGAAAAGAGCTTAACACAATAGCAAGTACTAATACTCAAAATGTAGGAGAGTTGTAGAGTAGTAATGGGTAGTCTTAATCTAATGTCAGTAACAGTGTAGAGGGGACCTGAAGGCTTAGTAAGGGGACCTAGGCTACAACTATTCTACACAACAGAAATACAGAACACAAGTACTAGAACATAGTCAGAACTTGTAAAACAGGCAGAGAGAGAGAGTGAGACAAGAGTAGAGTATATAGAGTAAGCCTAAGAGTACAGGACTACCTAGAGTAGACAAGATCAAGACTACAAGACTAGTCTGATCTTGTACACCTATATATACTAAACTATACAAGAGTACTCAGAGAGTATGAGCCACTAAGAATGATAAGCCACAAAGAATGAAAGAAAGGAATGTCAAAGATAAAGGTACAAAGAATGAAGGGATGGACAAAGGGTAAGAGACTATAGAATGAACAAAGAATGAAGGGGTGGTCAAAGGAATGGAATGATGAAGTAAGGAAGGGTAGTAGTAAGAGTCAGTACACATAGTCTATAGACAGTGCCCCTGAGGGACAGAAGTCCTGAGTTCCAGTACAGAAGGGTGCAGAACCCTCAGAACTGAAGGTACAAGAGTGGAGAATTGTAACAA